CATGTTGTGGACTTAGTACTTGTTTTGAGTTAATTGTGTATTATTTAATATATTGACCATGTACTAATGTCTCAGGGACACAGCTTTTTCTCATGTGATAAAGATTTTGTAATCATTGAAAAAAGAAAGAAAGCAGTAAATATTGATTGGTCAGTAAATTTGAAGTTGCAGAAATGAATGCTCCTCTTTTTCATGACTTTCGCACAGCAGCAGACAACCGAATTGCAATGAAATAACTCATTATATCAAGTGCTTTTTGGATTAGAATTACTGCCTCTGAAGAGGTGATCTTTGTAATTGGTTCTAGATCTGATGATGTTTTTAAATATTGTATGTACATTGATGATCATTTGAATTTCATTTCTCTAAATTTCAAAATTTTTTGTAATGGTATAATCTGAGTGTCATTCTTATCATTAAAGTAACAAAAAAATATTTTTTTCTATTTATTCCATACTGATTGTTAGAAATATTGTTTGTGTTCTAACTACTTATGTTAATTATTTATTTATTTATTTATTTATTTATTTATTTATTTATTTATTTATGCCTCCTAACAATACAGTTAACAAAGCTTGCACCATTTGTATTGTCAGAATCAGTTTATTTGTACGTATACTAATACATTTCTTCATTTTATAGTGGTTGTAAAATTTAGATAAACAGGACAATAACATAGCAATATATGGTACGTATTCCAAAACATAGAGGAGGAATAGTTCTTTCTAGAGTCTAGAAAAATATGAAGTATGAAATAACAAAGTATGTAATGAAAATGATAAAAATATGTGAAAAGGGGTAAAAATGTATCAAAGTACATTCTTATTTATAGAACATTTACACTTAATACATAATAAAAGTAAATTTACACAATTTGAAATAAGTTTAATAAAATTTTTATTAAACCAATTTAAAAATAAATATTGCTTGTCTTACTGAAATATTTTTTTTAAGAGTACATTTTTATGTTTGACTGCAATGATAGCCATTGTACAAATGCAGCAAACAACATTGTAGCATTGCCTTCACAGTGTTTCACATTTGTGACAACCAATATTTCTCTTAAATTGGTTTGAATTAAGAAATAAGGCATCATTGATACTATCCACATCTGAGCATTATATGCTCACGCCCTCTCAGTGCAATGCAGGCAGATCTTTACCCAGACAGACCACATATATCTGACCATGTCTTCATAAGAGACATATCGCATTGTCAGCATGAAACTCTGAATATGTGCAAGAAAAAATACCATTTTTTGAAGTGAAAACTATTTTTGGAAATTCATTCAATAATTTTTGTGAAACAAATTTTATGTATATTGGTAGATCAATAAAAAATTTTCAAAATATGTTAAATATGTAGTATAGTACAGAATATAAAAAAAACATGTAATGAAAAATTTGCATATTGTGTTAGGTTTGCTCTGATTAACCAAAGCTACAATTTTGAGAACTGAACATAGAAACACAAAGAATATATAATTGTAAAGAAACCACTCTCCAATTATTAGCAGTACATTTCATATAAACATGTTATAGAATAATTTACTTTTTAAATCAACAGTAAAATTAAATAAAAATCTATTAAAATACTAAATTTTATGTTTCCAATATTTTTCTTTTTATTCATAAAATAAAATTCAATTAAGATTGTAAATATTTGTTTTTCTCATTGAAACAAATTTAATTTTTCATTTCTGGAAGACATAGCCAAATTGCTCGTAATTAAAATATCTTGAAAATCTTTCTTGCTTTCATTATATTTGAATTGACATGAATATTTGCAAAGACTTACATCTCTATCAAAACAAACTGCTCCTTGTAAACCTTTAGTAATGGAGTGTTAAAAAAATAAATTAAATAACAACAACAACAACAACAACAATAATAATAATAATAATAACAACAATAATAATAAATTAATTCAATTAGGATACCTCCAGGTTCCAAGGCTCTGCAAGTTTTCATTGCCATGAAGGCCTTACTTCTTCCTTACTGACTTCCCTTGTTGTTATTTGTGGAACATTTTCTGCAGTTTCCTGTTTCATATGAAATGTTTGGATACTCTGTTCTATTCTCGGTTAGTAGGTCTTTGTAGTAGCTTTTCCATTTTTCCAGGCCTATTGGGCCCACTTTCCAATGCTCTTTTTTATTTTCACTGACTGTATTGACAAATTTCCATGCTTCTCTTGATTGTATGCTCCCCATTAATATACTTACTTCGTTATGCCTATTTCTTTGGTGTACTTTTTTTTTTCTTAACAAATTTCTTTTAACATCTACTCTGCATCTTACATATAATTGTCTATCTTGTTAACATTCTGTAGACAACCACCTTTCATAAGCTTTTCTCTCTTCTATAACCATTTCCTGAAATTGTTCATTCTGTCATTCATATCTTTTCTATGCCTTTCTGTTGATGCCGATAGTGTGTTCTGGAGAATTCTTTATAATGTGTTGTAGATTTTGGTATTTTAGTCTGGCATTTCCCACTGTCATGGTACTAATACCTTGAGCTACGTATAATTGGTATTCAAACCTTGTTGAAACATTCTGAAGCTTACATACATTAAACACATTCTGTTTGGGAATACTATTTTCTTGTCT